CCTAGCGTTCATTGTTTTTTAAAAGATTTGGACATTTGAAACATGCCGTTGTATGTTTAAGTTTCTTACGCTCTGTCATCGATATTTTAAATAAATATGGGTAAATATATGGTAAATATGCACATAAATTTTTTTATTAGCTTTAAACACAAGTGCACTTTGAACAGACTGGTTTTGTCGATAAGTCAGAATTGTGCCAGCATACTTTCTGCTGGCTAAGATCACCGACCATTCTGTGGAGACTTCCCAGTACGTTTTAGATATACGACCTTGCTCAGTCTATATACCTTTGAGTAGGACCGTGCTCAGTCTATATACATTATTGAAGCTAGCGTAATAAAGGTACTTTTGGTTCAGTAATTTGTTCCCATAGTAGGGAATTAGTTTATCACTGAGAACTTGCAAATCGCTACTTACTTTTTCGATATCATGAAACTGGTGAAATGTTTGCTGTGTATTTATGAAAATTTTATGATATTCTTAACCTGTCGGTGGTTTTCATGCTACATGACTTTGATAGTGCACTGACGTCGTTCTTGCTCGACCAGATTAAGTAATTTTTAATGTTTAGAGGTCGTGGAGGTGCAATTCCGCCTGTAGGGCATGGCAGGGGCATGATGCCTATGGATATAGGCTACGATTATGTAATCTTTTGAAACGAATTGCGGGTTATGTTTTGTATTTTAATTTTAGGGTACGCAAAACTTTCTTCAACCATACGGTTATCCTGACCAGTAAGTTGAATTATTTTTACTTCACTTGCTATGAATCGAAACTTTTCTTCATGTTAATAGGATTTGTTAAATTATTTACTCTACATTGACACTGATTTGCACTCCCTTGTAAATTAGAATTGATTAATATTCAACCGCATTTGTTTCTACGCCTGATTTTACTCAGTATTTATCTGCATAGCGAACGAGCCCACATTTTTCACATTCAGGTGAGTGCTGTCCTAAGGCGCCAAAGTCTCGCCAGAATGTCGAAAAGTTGCAGCCGTAACTTCGTGCTAAAGGATGCTATACCTCTGAGCTGAGATGCCTGTCAGTTTGAAACGATAATGGAGATGAAACTAGACTACTTACAGATAGTTTTTTGGGTATCTGCTTTTCAAGAATGTATAAGAGCTTTGACATGGCATTTTGATGCACACGATTAAAGCTTTGAGAGGCTGGAGAATTCATTAGAAGGCTACGGCTACATAGCAAAACCTCATATGAAAGTTTGGGTCGATTCTTGGGCGATGACAATTTGCGTTCACGGCTACGATGATTAATCAGTTTGACATTATTCTGTCTAGCCTCTGAACAATGTATGACATTGTACGGCTTTGCGTTTACAAGTGCCGCTCTTCAATAAAATGCTGTAAAATCTGGTTCATTTCTTCTGCCCCAAGAATGCTGGTATTGACCAGTGACCGGTATTTTAGGTGCAGCGAAACTGCGAGAGTTATTTTGGTATAACTGTCGTGGGTGATGATTATATCATCG